ACAGCTGCAAGAAGAAGTTAGTAATAAAATCCTGCTTCTCTACTTCTTCTTCCACCCAACCTCCAACACCATCTTGTAGCCTTCCTATTCTATTTCTCCTTTTCCGCTCGAACATGTTTGCATGGAAAAATTTCGTGTTCCTATAACCCTTCTCCAACCATTTGGTATGTGACCATTGCTTCCAATAGATATCAATTTGTTCTTCAATCTGTTCCAACTTAAAACGCGTAATAGCTTCCTTCGCAACACCTTCGCTGGACAAAGGACCACGACGACACAACTCTAACTCTCTCCTCAACATCTTCCGTTGTTTCTCCCATGCGCCTAAAACATTGGAGCTCCAGGAACTCAACCCACCCGGCACCTTTCTAATGAGCTGATCCACCGTGAGCAAAACTTCCGCTACTCCCTGCTCCCACCCCTCCTTCACAACACTCACAATTCTCCTCTTCCAACCAACCGGCTTCAAAAGCAAAAGATCTCATTTCCTCTCGGCCCTCTCCTAATGTCTCATCATTGTGATGATTCTTGGTCTCTGATCGAGAATGTCGAGGATCCCGTTTTGGACGAAAAACAGTTGGGGAATTTCTCCTCCAAGACTCGTTAGCAAGAGCCCTATCCAGCGCTCTCCCACATACCCAGCGCCCTAGGCTGTTGATTCTGCCATGTGAAAATGTCACCTTGAAACCAAGATCGTGCAGCCCATAAAATCAATGGCATCCCGACACCTATCCATTCGAGCTTGGGGTCGCAGCAACCCCCCTCCTTCTCATGCTGAAATAAGATTTCATTGAAATCTCTGCGCAAAGCCACGGTACATTGATGTTGTCTTGTAACCATAGATCTTGAAGGAGAGTCCAAGTTCTATGCTTCGCTTCAGATTTGTGGAAAACCGTACACACTCGTGAATCTCCACGTTGAACCATCGGTCTCCGTCACATCCACATCAATGTGGTTATCGTAGAAATTTTTGAGAGCCACACCAACCACCCTCCTCCATAACACATGACAATTCCCCCTGTTTCCAACACAACCGCACCACCATGTTTCTCAAACCCAGCAGCCACTTAAACCTTTCCATCCTCCTCTTATCCAATTTTGTTTACGACAAGAAAAGAATGGCGCACTCTCAGCCTTCTGCAAATCCGAAGGCCCGAACTGTCGGGCAATTGCTCAAACCCCAGCAGTTCCAAGACACCATCTTCATTGATCCTCGCAGAGAGCCGGACCATGGCTCAAACCAAATGCTAACATATCTAGAAAAACTAAAAATGTCTTATAATTTGGAATGGAGGAAGTAATAAATTTATTCATAATAAAATTTTTAATGCTTCATATTTTCTCGGCCTTGCGGGGGCACATGTTGTTTCGCTAGCTAGTCACTTATAATTCAGGACAAATTTTGAATGTTCTGATACCTTATATTTATCATGGAGGAAATATCAGAAGAACATGTTGTTACTGGTTCGGAAAAAAACAAAGCAAGGATGGCCTTAACAAGTATATAAACAAATGCTTAAGTTGTTATAACACCATTGGATACCACCTTTATTTTAGGCCATGGACAAATTAAAGTCTCTCAACTCTTTTATTTGCCGCAGTACTGCGAGCATGGACGGGATTGAAAAGAGCAAACAGTAGTAAATTATGTGAGGTACAGTTAGCCTCACCATATAGGAGTACATACACTATACATAATACTCCGTATATAATACACATACGTACAGGACACAGGATCGAGTATAGGAGGGGGTATCGAGATGGACTAGCTGCTACGTAGGAGTATAGGAGTATACAGTAGCGTATAGGTATAGGCGTATAGCCGTATAGGTAAAGGAATGCAGGAAATACAAAAAGGATGGAAGTAATTACTCACTGAATTCTGCTGATCCGCTGCAGTTTTCCCTGACCCAAAAGCGCCACTCGGCAAGGACACATATACCCAGCGGTTCAGCTAGCTACTAGTACTAGGCCACTAGCCGAGAGGAGAGCACGCATCACGATGCATTGCAAGCAAGTGTGAAGTGTCCTGACGAGAGCCATGAGCCAGCCACGAAGGAAGGGAAGGCTGGAAGGGCATGCAGGGGCGGGGCCATCATCACCTCATAATTCCCCGGTTTCCCATTGCTGCAACGGCAACAACTGTGCAAGAGCAATGCAAGCTCTCTTTTTCCTTGGGCTTTGTTTAGTTCCCGGACCGGAGAGTGGCCAAATAATTAATATGTTACTGTAGCGTTTTGTTTGTATTTGTGAATTATTGTTCAAACATTAACTAATTAGGCTCAAAATATTCGACTCGTAAAGTACAACCAAACTGTGCAATTAGTTTTTGATTTCGTCTACATTTAGTATAACATGCTACCATAAGTTTGATGTGACGGATAATCTTTTTTTTACATAGTATTTTTTCCAGGAGTTTGGTGGAAACTAGACATGGCCTTAGGCTCCATCTACTGGTGTGGTCGTCGACCGAAATCCTAGGCAGATTTCCAGAATCCGACGTGTAATTCTCCCCTTAAATGCACGCATGCAGTGGATGCCTTTTAGGCCTTCTCTCTCTCTATCTCTGTCTGAAGAGTCACCACTGATGGGCTTTTTTTTTTCTGAAGGATGAGCAGGCAGAGGCAGACGCATGCAGAGAGCAGCAGCAGCGAGAGGCCGGCCGGGCCAGAATCAGAATGAAGGCACGACACGACGTGCTAAATAACTCTGCACCAGTAACCTATATTCAAGGCACTCGCAGGCAGCCTTGCATACAGTTGCAGGTTACAGACAGAGGAAAGGAGCCATTTTTCTAAGGCCTGTTTAGTTCCTATTTTTTTTTCGCAGTATCCATCACATCGAATTTTGCGGCACATGTATAAAATACTAAATATAGACAAAAAAAAAACTAATTGCACAGTTGGGTGAGAAATCACGAGACGAAACTTTCGAACCTAATTAGTCCATAATTAGATACTAATTATCAAATACAAACGAAAATACTACAGTAGCCAAAACCAAAAATCTTTTGCATCTAAACGCGCCCTAAGGCCATGTTTAGTTCATCGGGGCCGCCAAAATCACTGTAGATCGTAGCATTTCGTTTGTATTTGGTAATAATTATCTAATCGTTGACTAATTAGGCTCAAAACGTTCGTATCGTAAAGTACAGTCAAACTGTGCAATTAGTTTTTGATTTCGTCAACATTTAGTACTCCATACATGTACCGTAAGTTTGATGTGGCGGGGAATCTTCTTTTTGTATAGTGTCAAAGTTGGAAATTTGGGAGGAACTAAACAAGGCGTAAATAGGAATAATGTACTCCTACTGCACTAGCTTCTAGTGTGGTCGACCGTCCGTCCATGCACAACTGTGATATCATCTCTGGTTTATCGTCTCACTAAATGCTTGTTACTGTATTAGTAGTCAGCCAATGCATGCATGCTAGCTGGTGTGTGTACCTAAACCTAATCGGATCTATCACTATCTATGTCGTCGTTTGCTAGAACAAGCTAAGCTAGCTAGCAGATCGACGTAGGAGTAGCTAGTATCGTCTAGCTACACGTAGTACCTACAATGGCCACTTTACTGATGCTTGACGTTTGTGTTGTGTTGGCGAGCGAGAGGAGTAGCTATTAGCAGCACGAGTGACCAAATAACTGTGCACGCACAAGTACACGTACCACGCTCGCCGCGTTCGTTCAAGCACGAAATCAACGACGACACAACGTACGTACGTGTATCCTAGCAATAATAAATACGCCAAGGAACTGATCGAACTGTTGCCTCTTGTATGTTCACCTGTCATCAAATTAAGATGATGTATTTGCAAACAAGTTTGAAATAATGACAACTGGAGCCATTGGCCATCACAACTAACGGTTCATGGATCATACATACATACATGCTGTACATATGATAATAGCTAGGAGAGGATGGGAGGCCGGGGCTGTCGGTACGAAACATGTTGGATATGCGGTGGTGTTAATCGGTCAGGAAATCCACCATACGACAGTACACAGTCGTTCTTGATTATCACATTCATTCTTTTGATTACGTCGCTACAGTACTAGTAGCTCCAACCTAGTAGCTGGCTGGCTGGCTGCTCAGCTCAGCTCAGCTCAGCTCAGTGAGAAAAAAGATGACTGCTGCCTACTCGCCACAGTACCTTACCTATGAACAGTACACAGGCCGCTTCTCTTGCATAACATGCCATTGCCAATTGCTTGCCACATCTCTCGTCTGCTCTGCCTCTGCGCTCTCTCTCTCTCTCTAAATAAACAGTCGCTGCAGTACACATCTCCCTCTCCCCCTCTCTCTCTAAAGTCAAGGAGTACTACTAAGGTAGTTCCCTCCTAAAATACCAAATTTTTCAAGATTTCCCGTCACATCGAATCTTTAAACGCATACATGAAGCATTAAATATAAATAAAAAATAAAACTAGTTACACAGTTTAGACGAAATTCACGAGACGAATCTTTTAAACCTAATTAGACTATAATTGGACACTAATTGTCAAATAACAACGAAAACGGTACGGTGCCATTTTGCCAAAAATTTGGACAACCAAACCGGCCCTAAACTCAACTCCATGGTGGTGGTGGTGGTGCGCATGTGCGCGTGTATTATTATGTATAGCAGTGTCTGGATCCATTATTATATATATAATACTGCAGACAGGAAGAAGGAAGCAGTGCAGTAGTGGCCGGGCCTCTCTCTCTCTCCATTATATATATGCTTCTTCCTCTTCTTCCGATCCTCATCGGACCTCCATCCACCCAACAATCCATCTGTTCCTCCGCCCTCCTAGTACCCATTTTGTCTCTCCCCCTCTCTCTCAACACACCCAACCAACCAGCCACAAACAACAAGTTTTGCTTGCTTATTCACAGACAGCTTGCAAACAAACCAACGAACTAATTGATTATCGATCCATCGAGCACGTACACAAATAGCTACTCATCAAATCCTAGCTGGAAGTGCGTAGTTGGCAGATCGAGCGAGGTAGACGACGACATGCCGTCGCAGCAGCAGCAACAGCAGGGCCAGCCGCAGCCGCAGCCGCAGGTGGTGGCGGGGTCGACGCGGTGGTGCCCGACGCCGGAGCAGCTGATGATCCTGGAGGAGATGTACCGGGGCGGCCTGCGCACGCCCAACGCGTCGCAGATCCAGCACATCACGGCGCACCTCGCCTGCTACGGCCGCATCGAGGGCAAGAACGTCTTCTACTGGTTCCAGAACCACAAGGCCCAGGACCGCCAGAAGCTGCGCCGCAGGCTCTGCATGAGCCACCACCTCCTCTCCTGCGCCCAGTACTACGCCGCCGCGGCTCACCACGGCGGCTTCCTGGCCGCCGCGCCGCCGCCGGTCGCGCCGTACGGGCATCATCAGTTGCTCTCCCCGTCGACGTCGCCCACCCCGGCTGCTGCCGCGGCAGCGCGCCGCTGCGGCGTACGGCTACTACTACCCTTCGCTGCCGCTGCACCGGCGAGCAGGTGCGCCGGCAACGCCACTCCCCGTCGCCGACGACCCAGCTGTTCCACTATCAGCATCAGGTAAGAACCGAGTAGTACGTACGTACTATCGTCTATCTACACGTCACATCGCCGGAGTTGAAATAAAGTTTCCATCTTTATCTCGCTATATATATAATATAATATACTAATCCGTCCATGCACAGGGTGGCGGAGGAGGAGGGCTTGTGCCGGCGGCGGAGGCGCTCGGCCGGCCGGAGTACTCGTCGCTGGGGAAGCTGGACAACTTCGGCGTGGCGCTTGACGACGTTGTCGTGAGCTCCGCCTCCACCGCCGTCGACATGACGACGCCTCCGGGGTTCGAGGTGGCGCCGCAGCCGGCTTCCTTCTGCCGGCCGCTCAAGACGCTGGACCTCTTCCCCGGCGGGCTCAAGGAAGAACAGCACGACGTGGCCTGATCGACCTATGCATGGCCATTATTAATCACTTAGCTAGTCGTCGTCATCAGTTGTTTAATTTGATGCATGTCATGCAGTAGTGCACACACTGACATGATCGATCTCGTCCCTCCCAATCAATTTAGCTAGAGCTAGAGCTAGAGCTTGCTAGCTTCTCTCACTCTCTCCAGTCTCCATGGCTACGAGCTATAAATGTCGTCGTCTGTCTTCTTGTTCTTTCCGGTGCATGTACGTGTTTCATTAGAGGGTGTACTTAGTTTATAGAGATTACAGATTAGTGCACGTACTGTACGTCGACACTAGCTAGAGGTAGTGAGCACTGAGCACCAGGAGCGAGCTACTCAAGAGGCCGGCCGGCCGGGCAGCCGGAGTGGCGCGCAGTGCAGTGCAGTGCAGTGATTCCTTATTGAGTTATTATGGAATGTGCCCGTGCGTACAGTGCGTGTTTATTAGTGTAGAGTGTAGATAGATGAGATGTTGCAGCTGCTTGTGAAGCTTTTTAGCTGGGTACGGTACCTACTAGCTAGGCCTTATTTGCAGAGCTCATTTAAGGCCTTGTTTAGTTGGGAAACTTTGGAAATTTGGCTACTAGATCACTTTCGTTTTTATTTACCGATTAGTGTTCAATTATGGACTAATTAGGCTCAAAATATTCGTCTCGTAATTTTCAACCAAACTATGCAATTAGTTTTTTTCGTCTATATTTAATGATCCATGCACGTATCGTAAAATTCGATGTGACAGCACTGTAGCACTTTTTGGAAAAACTTTTTGAACTAAACAAGGCTAACTGGTGGGAGAGGAGATCAAACTAAAGTTCATATGAATATGATGAAATGGAATGTTCCTTGCATTGCATGCCGGTCCTCCAACTCCCAACCTCCACCAACCCCCTCCTCCCTAAGGCCCCATTCCAAAAAAATTTGCACAGTACCCATTACATCGAATCTTACGGCATATGCATGGAGTACTAAATGTAGATGAAAAAAAAACTAATTGCATAGTTGGGTAAAAAATCACGAGACGAAACTTTTGAACCTAATTAGTTCATAATTAGACATTAATTGTCAAATTCAAACGAAAGTGCTATAATAGCAAAAAAATCCAAATTTTTTTGATGTAAACGGGGTCTAAGTCTCTCTCTAGATCTCTCCCTCTCTCATAGTCTCATCTCTAGCATCTAGATCCCCAGTGCACACCCTGTGTGTGTGGACTTTTTTTTTTGCCTGCCTTCTGTTTCGTTTTCCCACCAAAGAATCAGCCTCAAACTAATAAACTGTACTTCACGGTGGTCTTTCTCTTTTTTTAGGGGAAAAACATACGAACACGTTGGTGCGTTGCAATGGAACGTACTTACTTGCGTCATCTATTTTGAATACTTCTTGGAATCGGATTCTGTATCGGGGTAGGACGCGCGCTATTCTAACTCATATGAGCACAATTATGATTCAGGTCATGGACATGGCGGAAAACTAAGCATGAATATTATCTCCAGTTTATCATGTATTACTTCTCTTAACAAAACCGGCTAGAATTCTTATACTCAAGGGAGTGGGGACAGATGACTCGAGGAGAGAGTGATGAACCAAGAGACCGGGGAAGAATTTTTCTCTCCTTTCAATATCTACTAGCAAATGTGTTCATGCATTGCAATGAGATGTATAACTTGTTGCATGGTCATCTCGACCTACTTATGCCAACTATAATGAGCTAACTACACTAGCACAAAAAAGATTTTAGGAGACATGCATTTTGATTAACAGAGGCAGGCAAAAGTTAAGATGGTCTCCTAAAATAACGAGTGAATTTCGGAGACATCTGTCTCTGAAAATCGTAATAATAGAGACAGGTCTTTTAAGAGACCCGCCTCTAAAATCGAACCTATTAGAGGCCGGCCTCTGAAAAAAGCCCAACCAAAGCATGGTCCATATAACAAACCCTAACCCATCCCCAAGTTGCCACTTCCCCTGTTCTTCGTTCTTCATTCTTCCCCTTGATCGTCATCCCGCCATCGTCACCCATCTCTCCTCGATCTCCCCACAGACACCGCCCACCTCTCCTCTCTCCACGGCGAGTGGAACCAGCCAGGCGCCTCCTCCTCGCTGATCTGGTAGAGCCTATGCTCGTGGTCGTGTCAATGGCCGCCGACCGCCCACCTCTTCTCTCCCCATGACAATAGGTGTGCTCCCTTGACCCCTCTCTCCACTCCTCTTGATCTCCTCTCCTAATCGTCCTCCACTATTTATCATCTGAAGGTCCGGTGCCAGGTCAAGGGTGCGGTAAGGGTCTGGTGTGAGATGTGATGGTATTCAGTGCGAGATGCAATGGTGGCCTTTTCGAAGGAGGACGCGGGGTCGTGTGGAAGGGGATGCGCCATGGCCGGTCAGTGGGGCCAACATTCTCAAGTTCACCAGTGGCGGCGACGTCATCCTCACCAGCGGCGGCCCCTGCGGATATGGCACGACAACGATGACCCCTATGGATACAACACAGTGGCGGCTGCCAGGATGGAGCTGATATATTTTCCCGATTTCTAGAGATGGGGATTGTGCTCGCCTCTGTAGCTTTTCATTAACAGTTACGTTATGGTTGAGGTGGGAAGGAGATCCAATGTGGCCGTCTTTAGAAATGTGTATTTATAGTAGTGCTATATCTGTATTGAATTTATTAATTGGACTTGGTCCAACCTTATTTTTAACTAAATCAAATAAATTCCAAGACCCATAGAAAATGCTATGAGCATTAGAGGATATCCGCCTATGAAAAATTTACTGGAGATTAACTCACCTTAAATAGATGGCTATTGTTTGCAAATGTTGTGAGGTTAAGAAGTTGAAAAGCGAGCCACATGCCCGAGCACGTAGAGTCATGATGCCCATGGACTCGGGCAGTCCCAAGAAACAACAAGATTGGTGCCAGTTACAGCTCCAAATTGTTACCATCGTATAGAGGGACGAACGGGAGAGAGTGGGAAACCAAGAAAGGTAGAGGGTGAGGGACAAACGGATGGAGGAGAGAGAGTGATTGACATCACTTTCTCTCTGTGCGTCCTTCCCTCATTTTCACCTCTCTTTCTCCGTTTCTCGGTTCAATCCTTCTTCTTCAGTTGCAAAATCTATGTTGGCACCGCACTGCTCATGTTTGTGCTTGGCCGGTCGAGCTTGTGTGCGGGAGAAGAGGATATGAGGTTAGCTAGCTCACATTCTACCTTTTAACCTTACAAATAGATACATGTAATAGCCATCTATGTAAGGTACCAATCACCCTGAAATTTGTGTTTGACATTTGAAATCAGGGAGACTTGACTTTACATGCGTGGTACGATGGATGAATGATGATGCATGCATGATTCAAAATTTGGTGATCCGACATCCGATCTAATCAGACCTCAAGATCAAGTACATGAGCCGCGGGAGATCGTACGTACGTGCTGCAAATATTCCCTGCAATTAGTGACACGTACAATTACAAGCTAGGCGCGCGTCAGTCTACTTACGCTTTTGTCATTTCCCTGTCGTCGTCCTAGCACTCGCAATTAGCAGATCGATCACATATATATGTACGCACACACACATATATACAGATGCATGGTACGTCATACGTGTGTGCACACGCTGTACTGCTTCGACACGCACACACACGAATATTTTGTACCTACGTATACACATATAGTAGAGAGGAGCTGCTGCACATGCATACTTTGACGTGTACGACGTGTGTTGTTCCTATGTATTTTTGTTGTCGTTACGGGAGGACCGTACCGTCGTCTATATATCACGAGATATATAGTCATTAATTAAAAACTACTAGTAGTATCGAGAGCAAGTATCGATGGATCTCCGGGACACGTACGATGGCATATACGTGCGTCCGTGCCTGTGCGTTGCATGTTCTCATGTACGTGCTACACGTATATGCACGGGAGTACGGTTACATGTTTCACGTTCCAGTGTCTGGCAGGCTGCCTGTTAGCTTCAACTTATCAGCCTGGCTTATCAGTGTCTCTTCCTTACAACAAATCAGCGAACAGTACTGGCTTTTCAGCGAAGCGAACAACCTTTGAAGCTTATTATACTAACCATCCGCTCGATCACGTACTCGTTGTTCTTGATAATGTATTACTGAGAAGCTCTACTCTTATAAAAAGCGATATTTCCGTGTCATCTTTTGAATGAAAATTATACAAACACGAATACGAATACTTGGGTTGGGTCTTAGCCATGTGTATTTTCATCGGTTGTTAGTTTTCCGACACAGTCCTTTACTTCATATATACAAATGCGAGTCGAATCGGCCCCACTCAACGCAACTCGTGGCCCATCCGTGGCGAGCAAATCCAGGCCCATGTACAGTTTTAGCCCAGCCCATGGAAGCGAGTTAGGAGGACCGGAGGAGTCGTCCTCCGATGGTAATAGTAAGGCACAATTGCCATGGAGCGGAGGCTCTAAAAAAACCTGCTCGTGCGAATCCGCTCCACCCCCTCGCCGATCGCCAGATCCCTCCCTCCCCCGCACGGCAGGGCGCACGGCTTCTTCCTCCGCTCCCTCAGCTCAGGTAAACCTCGCCGCTCCGCTCTTCTCGTGGCGCTGCCCTCCTTGAATCCGGGCGCGGTTTAGTTGTTCGGAGAGGGGCTTTGCTTGCTCGGTCGGGATGGGAATTGGGAACAGCCTATAGCATCGCTTGACGCAGGTAGGGATTTGCTAGATTCCTGATTGATTCACATATGTTTCTAGTTCAAAATCACGGGGGTATCTGAGGCAGCTTGATCCTAGTTAAACTGATGCTCGTGGGTGCCTGAATGTTTCTGTTATTTCTGCTCACGCTTCACAGTGAGGAGTAGATGTGTAGGCCTGGAGTTGGATCCAACATTGAAAATTCGAGACACTAGCAGTAGTTTTTGTGAGACATTCAGTTCTCAGGTTAATGATGCGGATTTGTTTGTGTGTATCTGTGAACCTCGTGTGGTTTATTTGCGTGTTAGTTTTTCAATCGTCTTACTG